CTGCCCACACGCCGAGTACGCTGCTCTCCTCCAATCAGGAGCAAGTCCTACAGCTCATTAGTTGAACTCGAGGCAGCTGTGCGGAAGCTGTTTACTTCTCTCCCAGCGCCATATTGTGGGAGAGCAGATGCATAGAATAAGTCTTAATTCGAGTAACAGTCTAGTCCGGATTGCTCCCCACAGATCCCCCTTTCTTTTTATTTTTGGCGTTGATACGCGCCTGTCTTCGGTGTCCCGCGGCACATACTCTGCTCTACTTGCTAGAGTTGCCACAGGCTCTTACAAGTCCTATCAATCAGGAAAACCGAATCCGGGTCCTCTCTTCGCCATTGTGAGGAGGTTTTTAGGCGCTGATGCGTGCCTGTGTTCGGTGCCCTGCAGCGCATGCTCTGCTCTGCTAGAACTGCCTGCAGGTGTTTACAAAACCTATCAGGCAAACCGAATCCAAGCCTTCTCATTGCCGTATTGTGGGGGAGACTTATTAGTGTTGGTTCGTGCCTATCTTCGGTGACCTGCAGCTCATACTCTGGTCGAGCTTTGCTGGCGCTTACCGCCTTAAATCAGGCAGACCGAATCCAAGCCTCCTAATTGTTGCATTGTGGGGAAGCTTTACTGATGTTAATTCGTGCCTGTCTTCGGTGACCTGCGGCTAGCCGCCCAGGTGCTCATCGCCTCACTAATCGGGCAGACCGAATCCAAGCCTTCTAATTGGCATGTTGAGGGGAGGCCTTATTTTTCTCTATTTCTCTATCTCCGGGCATTCCTACCTCTCCCATTTCACTTCTATCTTCCAGCATTCCCATTTCTCTTTTACTTCACTTCCAAACTTCTGTTTCTCTTATCCCCGCAGCTTCCCGGCACCTCGCCGCTTCAGCCCGCGCGCCTCTCTCATCTGCGCAGCTTCCCGGCTTTGCGCGGCTCGGCTTCGCGCGCTCCGCGGTCTCCACGCTTAACCCTTTCGCGTCTGAACCACGGCCTACGCCAGCGTTCCCTATCTATTCACGCCCCGTGCTCTCTCTGCACGCGGCGGCTTCCGCGAGTAACACAGCGTAGCTTGCGTCTCCACCACTAGCATTCAATCCAAGTTCCCCGGGCTAGCCTGGCGAATTCAACCCAGCGTACGTCTCCGCCCCACGGTTTGGCTTCCCGTCCTTTGCTCCCCGGGCTAATCAGACGGATCCCAATCTGGCTTGCGTCTCAGCTTCTGGTTTCAACTTTTCGCCCCCTATTCCCGGGCTAACTTGAGAATCCCAAAGTGGCTTTCGTTTCCGCCTCGGCCTGCCCCCCGCGGCTTCAATCTCCCTAACATTTTTCTCTACCCGGTATGTTTCCCCAAGCTTTCCTCCAACGATATTCCTCCCTCATTTCTCCTGGCCTCTCCCCACAGTCCGCGTCCGAGCCTGTTTGTTCCAGCTTTCACTTTCGCTTTCGACCTTAGAGATTTCTCCCAGCTTCCCCCCGTAGTCCGTATCCGAGTCTATGCCCAGGCTTTCAATAGCTTCTTCCGGCTCCTTTTTCGTCCGGCTTTTCCCTAGGCTGTTTGCTAGTTTCTCTCTCCGATATTTTCCCTAGTTCTTCCCGTTTCTTCCCTCCTAAGTTTGCTATCCGTCCTAAGTTTCCTATCCGAGTCATTTCTTCCCTCCTAGGTTTCCTATCCGAGTCACGGCACCATTATGTCGCTCCCCCTCTTCGTGGAGGAGCAACACAGGACCCTGCGCTGTTCTTTCGTCTGCTCGGCCCTCCCCGGGTTTGCTGCTGGTTCTTCCCGGGTTGGCTACTATCCCTTCCACCTCCGTGGAAGGGCAGTTCCCCCTGGCCGCATTCCCCACTTCCGCAGGGGAGCGGCACACCGCCGGCCAGCTTTCTCGGGGGCTGCACGGGTTCCCTTAGATGTTCCCCATAGATGTTCCTGGTGCATGCCGTCTCTCTCCTCCTTTATAGTCCTCCTCCGCCAATCCCAACTCGGCTGCCCACACGCCGAGTACGCTGCTCTCCTCCAATCAGGAGCAAGTCCTACAGCTCATTAGTTGAACTCGAGGCAGCTGTGCGGAAGCTGTTTACTTCTCTCCCAGCGCCATATTGTGGGAGAGCAGATGCATAGAATAAGTCTTAATTCGAGTAACAGTCTAGTCCGGATTGCTCCCCACAGCTTACATTTCTTTATTTAATTTTCTGTGGTAGCAGTGTAACACATGAATAATCATGGAAGCATACCTAGGTGGAGCCTATAGCCTTTCTTAATTTACACAGTGTTCTGTGAAGCTGTACCACGTAACTTTCCACCCAACAGCAGATGATGATAGGACATCACATATTGAAGGCAGATACTAGGACAACTGACAGTGAAACTGAGAGTTAAATAGTAAAAGTACACATAGCAATTGTGGGTGCCAATGTAGCATGCTAGAGTACTCAGTGTTCCGGGCTATAGCTACTTCAAAGTGGAAATGTTAATTTGTCCTCCGCATTTTTTTTTGCTTTTCAATAGAGATAATGCCTAATATATTAGAACACTGTCTATCAAGAATCAATAAAATATTTAAGGTTTGATGTATACAGATACATACTTTAATTACCTGGAGCATTCCTGACCAGGAAATACCATATATCCAAATGGTGTTGCTAATGGGATATTGCTAGTTTATTGGAGAAAAAATGTGTTGAGAAAAAAGATCTTACATTAACCCACCGCAATTCATTGTCGTAGTCTGCCTGCCACTGCTGTAACTGAATAATGATAAGCAGCAGAAGCTTACTCGGTTCACTGTTCCAGAGGCTGGACATCCACGACTGAGCGGCCTCTTTGGTTAGGGCCTTCTTGCCGGGTCCTCACACAAAGGAAGGCCAAGCAAGCATATGAGACAGAGGGAGGGAATGGGGCTGGACCTGCCCTTTTATCAGGAGTCCACTCCTGTGACAAGTGACCCACTCCACCCAAGAGGGAGAGCCTCATGACCTGATCACCTCCAAAGGCCACACCTTTCTGGACCACCACAAGGGCAATGACGTTTCAGCAGGAGCTTTGGGGGAGGGGACACGTTTGACTATTACATCCATCATGGTGGTGCCCACATCTTACAAGCCGAGGAAGCCAAGAGTCCTATGCCTGCACGTGAAGACGCAGGAAGAAGGATGCTGCTCCTCAGAAGCAGAGAGTGGGACCCCAGGGCAGCAATACTCCTGCGCTCACTGCCTGTGCTCCAAGTCCTGTAAGAAGTCAGCACCAGTAACACCTCTGCCTCCAGAGCAAACGCGATGTGGATTTGTTGCTGAAGGGACTCTTCTTAGTCTAATAAGCGCATAAGGTGCTGAAGACTTGACTGACCACTTCAAAATAAGTGCCAGGCAGAAACCTGTGTGCTTTTAGGGGGCATCAGGATGATGGATCACTAAACGTGCAAGCGTGGAGCACAAGGAGGCAGAGAGAGGACTGTGGACACTATCTCAGCAGAAGCAGTGGAGTAGGAATCCCAAGGTGACGGTGAGGAGTCATCCCCGAGGAGCCTGCTTTCAAAAAAGCCACTCACAGCCTGGGTACCATTCGCTGCATCATCACGGCTGTTTTGATGACAGCGTCTCAGAGGTCAAGGGTCTGCTTGCAGTAAAAGGAGAGTGAAGTTGTAATGGTTTACGGTGCCATGCAGCAGAGATAAAAGACTTGCTCTGAAGGTCTGCATCGCATCCTGCACTTTGTTAAAAATCTGTAGTGCAGGCCGTGGTCTGCGAAGGTGGAGGAGATCCAGGATTCTAAAGACTGCCATCAAATCAAAGGCTGTTCTACAGAGCTGAAAACACACGGGGACCAGCATTTTCCACCATAAAAGGGAACATCATTCCAAGAAAGAAGAGGAGGGGAGTACCTGGAGGTACTCCAGTTGTTCCAGCAGGTGACTGGTATTGCAAGTATTCACAGCGTGAGTTACTAGGTGTCAGGTTGACAGTTGGCCAAAATACTCAGTAGTATCTTCCTGGGTCTTTTTTTTTTTTAAGAGTATTTGTTTGAGAAGTAGAGTTACAGAGAGAGAGAAGGAGAGACAGAGAGATACTCCATCCGCTGGTTCACTCCCCAAATGGCTGCAATGACTGGGGCTAGACCAGGCTGAAACCAAGAGCCAGGAGCTTCATTCAGGTCTCCCACTTGGGTGCAGGGGCACAAGGAGGACTTGAGCCCTCCTCCACTGCTTTCCCAAGTACATTAGCATGGAGGTAGATCAGACATGGAGCAACTAGGACTCAAACTGGTACATATATTGGATGTAGACGCCACAGGCCACTGCTTTAACCCTCTGAGCCACAGTGCCGGCCCCTCCTGGACAATTTTTAAAAAATATTCTTTGATTCAAGTCCAGAATGCTAAAAATGAAGAAAGTGTTTAAGATGACTAGACTTGGGGCCAGAGCTGTGGTGCAGTAGGAGGAGCCTCATATGGGCTCCAGTTTGTGTCTCAGCTGCTCCTCCCAATCTAGCTCTTTGCTTATAGCCTGGGAAAGCAGTGGAAGATGGCCCAAGTGCTTGGGACCCTGCACCCACATGGGAGACACAGAAGAGGCTCCTGGCTCCTGGCTTCATCATTGGCTCAGCTCAGGCCACTGCGGCCATTTGGGGAGTGAACCAATGGATGGAAGACTTTTCTTTCTGTCTTTCCCTCTCTCTGTTTGTAACTCTGCTTCTCAAATAAATAAATAAAATCTTTTTTAAAAAAAGTCATTATGCCATTTAAAAAAAAAAAAAAGATGGCCAGCCTTCATTTGAATTATATGTCCTCACATAGAACCTGTGCTGAAAAGGAGTGCAAAGGACTGATACACTGATATTCCTGGATAAGAATGTAAATCCCAACTAGATATTCACATATGTAAATATTTCTATAGGTACTTCCGTACTTTTCCGTGCATGTCTTTTCATTAGTGTTTGATAAAGTTACTATTAGAATACAAATAGTCTGATACAAATGCAGTTAGCCATTTGGATACTAAAAGTGTGCTGTTTCTTTATTGCAGTGTGCTGGCAGGTTACAATGGTACCATCTTTGCGTATGGGCAGACCGGCAGTGGAAAGACGTTCACTATCACGGGCGGGGCTGAGCGTTACAGCGACAGAGGCATTATCCCAAGGACACTGTCATACATCTTTGAGCAGTTACAAAAGGTATGAAACCAAGTTTATTTTCTATTTGATGTATCCGGCATAAATTGGCTGGGAACACATTATTGTGACATTTTAATATTCAGGTTGAGCATCTTTATTTCAGAAATCAAAAATCAAAAATCTCAAGGGCTCCAAAATCTAAAATTATTTGAGTACAGGCATAACAACTCAAGTGGGAGAGTCCTCATCTGATCTCATGTGATAGAGCACAGTCAGAATGCAGGCAGATAAAATTACTTTTCGGCTATGTGCATAGGTGTATGTGAAACATAGATTAATTTCATATTTAGGCTTGAGTTCTACCTCTACCATATCTCATTAAATATACACAAATATTCCAGAATCCAAAACACTTTGAAATCCAGAATACTTCTGATTCCCAAGTACTTGAGATAAGGAAACCCCAGCTTTTATTATATGCAAGCGAGGAAGTATTACTGTGTTAGAACTCTGACCTTTATTTTTAAAGCAATTTTGGGATGAAGAAGTGGAAATTAAGGAGGTGCTATTCACTATTTATTTATTTGTTTATTTTTGTTTGAAAGGCAGAGTGAAAGAGAGAGAAAAAGTGAGAGTGAGAGATTGAGATTTGCTATCTGCTGGTTCACTTCCCAAATGGCCACAATAGCTGGGGCTGGGCCAAGCCAAAGCCAGGAACCAGGGACTCCATCAGGTCTCCCATGTGGGTGGCAGGGGCCCAAGCACTTAGTCCATCATTTGGGGCTTTCCCAGGCGCATGAACAGAGAGGATTGGGAGTGGAGCAGTCAGGACTCAAACCAGTGCTCTGATAGGGGATGCCATGTAGCAAGCTGCAGCTTCACCCACCGTGCCCCAACACTGGCCCTGAGGTGCTGCACCTCGAAAGGCTGGTAGTTCAGCACAGGCTCAAAGGGAGCTCCTCTGACATACCCAGAGAAGTTAAAAGAGCAGATAACAACGCTGTCTTGTATTCCTCATCCAGAAACTGGATTGTCCATGAACTAAAACAGACCTTTCTCTAAGCTACTAAAGTACCGAGTATGATAATGCAATTGTTACTTTTTCACACTTTCATAGAATCCTAGGGGAATTTACCAGAGTACAAATCTTATTCAAGAATATTGTTATAAAGAGGATTGTCCTATCTACAAGGTTACCGCAAAATGTCGTGAGAGATGGTATTAAAAGACAGGTATAGTTCGTTGCAAAAATGTTTGTAGTTCATAGTTTTTTTTTTTTCTTAATATGCTTGGATGAACTTTTTGAAGACCTAATATATTATATGTGTCATTTGATTGAGTGCTTCCAAGTGTATTTAATACAACATACAATTTAACTAACAAGGTAGCTATCCAGATCCTCATTTGTAGTTGGAAAAAAAAACGGAGCCTAAAATTCAGTATTTTGCTTTGAGTCCATGTCTTTTAAGTAGCTGATCTAGAATTCTGCTACAGATCTGTCTGATAATAACCTCTGTGCTTTTTTTTATTGAAGATTTATTTATTTACTTGAAAGTCAGAGTTACAGATAGAGGAGAGGCAGAGATAGAGAGAGAGAGAGGTCTTCATTCCACTGGTTCACCTCCCAATTGGCAGCAACAGCTGGAGCTGCGCCAATCCAAAGCCAGGAGCCAGGTGCTTCCTCCTGGTCTCCCATGGGGTGCAGGGCCCAAGCACTTGGTTCATCTTCTACTGTTTTCCCACTCCATAGCAGAGAGCTGGGTCAGAAGCTGAGCTACCAGGTCTCGAACCAAGGCCCATGTGGGATGCCGGCGCTTCAAGCTAGGGCGTTAACCCACTCCGCCACAGCGCTGGCCCCGTCCTCTGTGCCTTTTAATTACTGCATATACTGCCTCTTGTACTTCACAGGGGCCTTATTTTGTTGGTTAAATGAGTCCCTTAGGTTCTGTGGGTTTGTTTTCTCCTTTGTGCAAGTAGGGATAGAATTGTACTAGAAGTTCTCCAGTCTCCCTACTAGTTACAACAGTTCCTTGGCTGTATTAATTCTGTATAACAAATGTCCTAACTGGGTCAATGTAAAGTCACTCCAAATTTTCTCAGCTGTATGCTGTTTGCATTTTGAGTTGCAAAGATGAGAAGAAATTGCTGAGATCTGCATAATTCTAATTGCCGTCCATAAAGTAGCAATTATCCATTAGTTCAGCTCATCTCTCACTAGCTCAAGCATACCAGCTCTGCATGCCAGAAAATTCAGAGAAGAAAGGGTTGAGTGTAGTGTGTATGTGAGGTCCAAAGTGCTGCTTCTCAGTTGCTCATTTATTTCTGATATTACTCATTTTGTGTTGTTCGCACATTTCATAAACCGCTTCCAATAGTTTTTGTTGCTGTGGTGTAATGCCTTGGAAAGATCATGGCAGTTGGTGTAGGCTGACCTGGTTCTGAGAAAGTCTGCTACTTACACATAACATGTGGCCTTGGAATGCTTACTTACTGCTTTACTCCTGCAGAGGCACTGAGAGGCTGAGCATACTGTATTTAAAGATATTGTCCAGTTCTTCACACAATATATGCTTAATGCCTGATAGTTATTGTTGGTGTCCATAAGCTCCTATATGCAAGTGGCCAAACAGTCTCTCCCTCATTGCAGAGAATGCTTTGAAACCCTCAGAACAAGTGAAGCCAGTTTCCCTGATTAAGTTAAGCAGAATAAACAAATCCTCTCCCGGTGGGAAATATTTTTTTGTCCTGTTTTAGAATTTCCTCTATGGCTAGCAAAGTACAGCTCTGGGAGTCTGAGTATCTCCCGAGTCCTTCCCATCTGTTTAGGCCCGTTGTTTTCGATCTGTTTGTCATTGACATTACTGGAAGCCCCATTTCTTTTTTTTTTTTTAAAGATTATTTATTTATTTGAGAGGTAGAGTTATAGACAGTGAGAGGTAGAAACAGAGAGAGAGGTCTTTCATCTGCTGGTTCACTCCCCAGATGGCCGCAACGGCCGGAGCTGCACTGATCCAAAGCCAGGAGCCAGGAGCTTCTTCTGGACCTCCCACTTGAGTATAGGGGCCCAAGGACTTGGACCATCTTCTACTGCTTTCCCAGGCCACAGCAGAGAGCTGGATGGGAAGAGGAGCAGCCAGGACTAGAACTAGTGCCCGTATGGGATGCCAGCACCTCAGGTGGAGGATTAACCTACGATGCCTCAGTGCAGGCCCCTGGAAGCCCCTTTTCACTCTGAATGATCCTAAATAACTTCCTGGATCTGGAGAGAGCCCACTGGGCCAGTTGATAGCCAGACGAGCTCTTTGTAAACGGAGAGATTTCCAGGATGGGGCACAACGCTTTCATTATGATCAAACTGCACTACAGTGAAAAAAAGGCAGAAGCCTGGAAGTGCGTCATGAAGTCTGTCGGCCTTGTGTAGCTGGAAAATGCAGACTGCAGCTTGGTTAGCACAGAGGGCCACGTGCAGCCCTCCAGAACTCTCCCGGAAAACATCTGACTTCCACAGTCTTCACATCACGATAAACCGAGAGCCCTGTGTGTGCTGCCTCCTGAAATGCCCTGAGTGTGACAGGAGCACATTTTCACTGATTTCAAGAGAGAATCGAGTCCACTTATTTTAGAAATCACTGCTCATTATTTTTGCGTATGGTGAGGTTCAGACTTGTTTGGGGGCAGGAGAGCAGGCTGTCTGCAGGAAACATGTGTGTTACATTACAGTCTGGCATTCCTAAACTCTGAAAAGAAGTAACAAGGAAAGGTAGCCTGCAACATAGCTCGGTGCATTTTAAGTGTGTTTTCCAATAAAAATCCAGGAAATGCAAAAACTACAGGAGCCAAAATCATTATCCCTATCATCTCAGGGCAGCAGACCTGCCATTTTTCTGACTTTTTATGATTTATTCTAATTCCTGGAAGAAGAGTTTCTCTGCTACAGACAAACCTACAAGTTCGCTATTATCTTTTCTTTTCTTTTCTTTTCTTTTCTTTTCTTTTCTTTTCTTTTCTTTTCTTTTCTCCCCTCCCCTCCCCTCCCCTCCCTTCCCTTCCCTTCCCTTCCCTTCCCTTCCCTTCCCTTCCCTTCCCTTCCCTTCCCTTCCCTTCCCTTCCCTTTCCTTTCCTTTCCTTTCCTTTCCTTTCTTTTCTTTCCCTTTTATACTCACATACTGAATTCTCCACTTGGAGTCTTGTAGAAATAATAAAAATTTTAAAAACATCCAAAACAACAGCAACAGCAATAGCATTAGCAGCAGTAGCAATGATCCAATGGAACCTGTTACGGACCACATATTTTTGTTAAGATTTTAAATGCAGAATCTTACTTCTCTGTCACAACAGTTCTTCAAGATCAGGGCCATTATCCCCTGGACTATTGTCATGGGGAAACAATTGAGAATAAAGGTGCAGGAACCCTCAGTTATAAATGGTAGATTCAGGGGCCAGCATCGTGGTAAAGCCACTGCCTGCATCACTGGCATCCCATATGAGCCCCGGTTGGAGTCCCAGCTGCTCCACTTCCAGTCTAACTCCCTACGAATGCACTTGGGAAAGCAATGGAAGATGGTCCAAATGCTTGGGCCCCTGCAGCCATGTGGGAGACCCAGAGGAAGCTCCTTGCTCCTGACTTCAGCCTGGCCCAGCCCTGGCTGCTGGGGCCATTTGAGGAATGAACCAGTGGATGAAAGATATCTCTCTGTCTTTCTACCCCCCTTCCCTCCCTCTCTGTATCTCTGCCTTTCAAATAAACAATAAATCTTTAAAAATAAATAATTAAAAATAAATAGTAGATTCAGTGACATTGTTATGCTGTAACTGGTTAAGTTGTCACCTATAATGCCAGCATACCATATGGTTGCCAGTTTGAGTCCTGGCTACTCCACTTCCAATCCAGCTCCCTGCTAATGGAGAAAAAGCAACAGAAGATGATCCAAGTGTTTGGCCTCTGCCATCACGTGAGAGAACCAGATAGGGTTCCAGGCTCCTGGCTTTGGCCTGGCCATTGAGGCTATTTGGGGAGTGAACCAGTGGATGGAAGATCTCTCTCTCCCTCTTTATTTCTCCATTTCTCTCTTTCTCTCTCTCTCTCTCTTTCTTTTTCTCTCCCTCTCTCTCTGTGACTTTGCCTTTCAAATAAATTAATTTTAAAAATAATAAGTAGTAAATTCACACAGCTCTGTCATGATTCTAAAAGGAGCTCAGACCTATATGCTAAAATCTCCAACTGTAATATTTTGGCAGTGTTCAGGTAAGTTTTAGAAATATGCTTGTTTGGGCCGGTGCCGCAGCTCAATAGGCTAATCCTCTGCCTCGGGTTCTAGTCCTGGTCAGGGGTTCGGATTCTGTCCTGGTTGCTCCTCTTCCAGGCCAACTCTCTGCTGTGGCCCAGGAAGGCAGTGGAGGATGGCCCAAGTCCTTGGGCCCTGCACCCGTATGGGAGACCGGGGAGGAAGCACCTGGCTCCTGGCTTCGGATCAGCTTAGCATGCCGGCTGCAACACGCCAGCCGTGGCGGCCACTTTGGGGGCTAATCAACGGAAAAAAGGAAGACCTTTTTCTCTGTCTCTCTCTCTCTCTCACTGTCTAATTCTGTCTGTCAAAAAAAAAAATATGCTTGTTTAGAGACTGTTGCTGAAGAATCCTCTAGGGCCTATCATGTACTGGGAGATTCTCCCAGAGAAGTGCAGAGTGTTGACCATGGAACACTTTGTTCCAGAAATATTTTGTGGAATGTTTAGGAAATACTGGATTAGACTAACAGCCACCCAAATTCTGTCCAGTGTTTGTAGTTTGTAATACCTGTGCTAAGCCAAGCTAAAACCAGAAGAATTAGGTTGAAATGCAGCCTCACCAACTACCATGCTAATGTGATCAAACAGGCCATTTGTTAAGATAAGCATTTGCGTCAGCCCCATTGCAGGATTTCCAGCATGTGGTTGAAATTCGCTTGGCAAAGATTCCGTTCATGTTGTCACCTTCATAGAGGACTGGAACATGAAAGTTCAGCTCTAGCCTGGACCTCCCGTTGTAGCCGTGTGCTGGCTCAGACTTAACTTCTCATTTGTTGTTTTGATAGGCAGGATTGTGGTGTCTTTATTTGGATACTTGAGCCACTTCAGGTCCAAAGAATCATGCTAATTTTAACCTAAACAACATGCATGGATTTATTATTCAACTTCCTCTCTTTACTAGGTATGAAAAATGAGGCTGTGCATGGTAAGGGCTCATAGCTGACTGGATAAGGATTCTAGTTTTTGATTTGCAGGTCACTGTTCTCTCTCTGGTCCTCTCTCCTTTTGAACAACACCTGTTAAGTGGGTTGTCTTAGACATGGCTGAGAGTCAGGCAAGAAGGTCATCCTAAGCAAATCCTCCCTGTTAGGACCCACTCTGACAACCTGGTAGCCTCTTGCCACAAAACACAGATATGTTTACCTATTATGAGAAGCAAACACATAGTCGCAGAATTGGTAGTATTTGCATTTTTGAGAAGAACAAGAAGAAAGGACAAATATGTGACTTTTTTTGTATTGAAAATTGAACTTGGAGTCTTTTTTTTTTTTTTTTTTTTGGACAGGCAGAGTGGACAGTGAGTGAGAGAGAGACAGAGAGAAAGGTCTTCCTTTGCCGTTGGTTCACCCTCCAATGGCCGCCGTGGCCAGGGCGCTACGGCCGGCGCACCGCGCTGATCCGATGGCAGGAGCCAGGTACTTATCCTGGTCTCCCAGGTGGGTGCAGGGCCCAAGTACTTGGGCCATCCTCCACTGCACTCCCTGGCCACAGCAGAGAGCTGGCCTGGAAGAGGGGCAACCGGGACAAAAATCCAGCGCCCCGACCGGGACTAGAACCTGGTGTGCTGGCGCTGCAAGGCGGAGGATTAGCCTAGTGAGCCGCGGCGCCGGCCATGGAGTCTTCTTATGAGCAGAAAAACTTCCCTGCTTTATTCTACCTCAGAGGGAAGGAGATCTGTGGTATGTGTGGGGTTTTGGTCTATTGTCAGAACTGAGACCAGGACGGCCATCTGGACTCTTAGTCTCATTACACTGATGCCCGTGTCACTACATTTCAGCAGTGACCCACAGACGATACTTCCCCATGTCCCCGATTGGCTTACTTGCACTAGGAAATACAATACAACAAGTGAGGAGTAGGCCATGAACTATTAATGTCTGCTGCTAAAATGACTGATCTAAGTTATTTTCTGACCCCTTGAAATCTATTTATATCATCTAAAAAATTTGAATAATAGAAAAGTAGAAAAGAAAATTATGACTGAAGGCAGAAATTATTTGCTACTGAAGTTTTTAAACTGAAGTAATGATCTATGGTCTCTTATGAATAGACTATTCACAGAATGTTAAGTTTATTTTTTCTTAGTGCTCCCCTTTTTTTGGTCTGGAAAGTAAAAAATGGTGTGTTTCAGAGTTCTGCAACCAAGTTGGCTCATTGTAAGTGTATATAGACTTTTTGTGTATAATGTGGAACCAATAAAAAATAACAGACTAAAGTTGCTTGTAATCATGGGTGTTGGCCACTAAAGGAAAAGCTTCATGCGTATGGTAACTGGCAATGTGAAAGTGTCACGCACTGAAAATGTAAACCATATAAAGTGTGAGAGAAAACGTGAGGACGCTACAATGATAAGCGTGTGCAACTTCCTCTAAGCTGAACTGTTATTTATAGCCATTAAATAATGTCTTTCCCATTTCCAATCAGGACAGCAGCAAAGTATATACAACACACATTTCCTATTTGGAAATCTACAATGAATGTGGTTATGATCTGTTGGATCCAAGACATGAAGCCTCCAGTTTGGAAGATTTGCCGTGAGTAGCAGAACAACAAAGAATGGGGGAAATTGCTTTCAGATGTTCCTTTCAATTGTTTTCTTTGAAACTTTATGTGTTTCTGGTCTCAATCATAATTAGCAAATACTGGATAACAGATCTTTTTGTAACATAATGGGTATTTTTTTCAGTTGTGACAAATGGACAGTAGTGATGGAAACTAAAATTGCCTGAAAGTCCTTTCTTGGGAAAATCTCTTGGAGTTGGCATAAGAGAGTGCAGTGAGATTGGGAGTGCAGAGGATTGGTTAGACAATACTGCTTGATTTCTGCCACATGAAACCCTTTTACTCCTCTGTGACATTTTTTTCCTAAAGAAGGCATTTGAATTGGAGTTCCAACAGCAAGAAAAGAACCTGAAAGAGAGATGACCATACTTTAAGTTTTCCAAAATGCTTTTCTAGTCTGCCATCACTTGGTCAGTTGGCACTGATTGTTCCTTGACTGAAATAGAGTTACGTAGAGTCTTTGGAGCTTTTCTGTTAAGGGAATAAGCTACAATGCCAGTATTCATGTAATATTATGTACTGCTTGTTTGAATATCTGCCTAAATTTGACATATATTAATTGATAACAGTTCATATACTTTTGTCTAGACATCATATATCAGAAGTTACCTACAAAAACATAAGTTTTAGTATGATTCTTATTAAATATCATAAAATAATTCAGAGACATACATATTAATAGATCTACAACCAGTTCATTATTTTAATTTATAAAGAAATTACGAAGAAATAATAAGGAAAATAAGGTGTACCCTTTATGCCACCTTTATAGGTGTTCTTCCAGTAATGTTGGTTGAGAGATTTGTATACCATCTCCTTTATGCTTCTAAAAGATGGAGAGTTAGGAAAGGAAATTACTGTTCATGCACTAAATATTTTTGTAAAAATTGAAAGAAAGCAAAGATTACTGACTCTATGGGAGAAAATGGCCTTTAAAAAAGCATTAGAATTAAGTAAACAAGAAAAAAGGTCAAAATTTTCACACAAAAGGATAGAAACAAAAACTTTAGATAGAAATGTATGGTTGGGATGGCTGTGGAGAGGAGTGCTGGGCCGAAATCCAGTCACTGGTGTGATGCCATTCAGACATGGGCACTGGGGGAGGCAGCTGGTTCATGAGGGTGGAGTTCTCTCACACAGACTTAGTGCCTTTATAAAATCGGTCCATGGGAGTTTGTTTGTCCCTTCTACCACATTGAGGGTGCAGTGGAAGGCTGGTGTTCTGCTGCCAGAAAAGTTCTGGTATTCTCACCAGAACCCAACCAGATTGACTCCCTGATCTCAAAACCTTCAGAATTATCAGAAACAAATGCATATTGTCTGTAAGCCACTGGCTTATGATATTTGGCTGTGCAGCCCAAGTGGACTAAAACAAGGAGTCATTGCAAATAGAAGCAGAAAGACCAACTGAAGGCTTTCTGGAGAGATCTGAATGACAGGCTTTTAGTGTGAGAGTGACTGTTATTCTAGTAGGTTTCTGCATTAGTTTTCTAGCCTGCAGTCTGATTTACTTACTGTCAGACTAAGTGTTGCTTAAACTTGCTTTCAACAAGTCACATCTACACCTAAGAGCTTACCAGCCATTAGCAGTAACCCAGGGGAGAAGGACTTGGCTCTGATGAACATGGAGGAAGAAGGATAACCCAAGAAATGCATAAAGTAAAATAAAATAAAAATAAAAATAAATTGATTATGCCTACCACCCCGATTTGGTTCAGCATGAAATGAAAGATGACTCACAGAAGGCTGGTGATCTCACTTTTACTGACTGAGCCCGGAGAGGTATGACTTGTACAGAGTTTCAAACATAATCGAGGGGACCTGCCTTCTGGCATAGTGGGCAAAGCCGCCACCTGCAACACCAGCATCCCATATGCTCACTGGTTCATGTCTCTCGGCTGCTTCACTTCCTATCCAACTCCCTACTAATGGCCTGGGAAAGCAGTGGAATATAGCCCAGGTGCTGGAGCCCCTGCCACTCATGTGGGAGACCTGGATGAAGCTCATGGCTCCTGGCTTCAGCCTGGCCCAAACCTGGCCATTACAGCCATCTGGGGGAGTGAAACAGCAGCTGGAAGATCCCTCTTTCTCTCTCTGTCCCTCTCTCTCTCTGTAACTCTGCCTTTCAAGTAAATAAGCCAATCTTTATCACATATATAACTTTGGTGTCTGAGAGTACTATGGTAGATATTTGTGTTTAAAAACATTCTTCAGAAGTAGGAAGTGTTTATTTCATTTGTAGGCTCTCTACTGTCAGAAGCAAACTATGTCCTTAATAATTTTTAAAATTATATATATCAAATTATCATACTGTGCCACATATACATATATAAAATTTTAAACATATTTCTTTAGATTTAGCAATTTTTAACATTTTGCCATATTCACTTCATATGTAAATATTAAATATAAACACATACATACAATTGTTCTTGAAAGTGGGGATATTAATAATACGACACAGGATTCATGACAAAGATCATAAAGTGAGGAAAGAAAGATACATTATTATGTAGAGGGTATAATTCGATAAAGAAAACATTTATAGCCATCTATATGACAAATGATATGGCATTAATGTACTTTTTATTTGTCTCTCTCTCTGTGTATGTGTGTGCATGTGTGTGTTTGTATGAGCTTTCAACTATGAGAGAAAATGTGGATTTTCTCTTTCTGTGTCTGGCTTATTTCACTTAGCATAATAATCTCCAGCTCCATCCATTTGGTTGCTAATGTAAGTATTTTATTCTATTTTATGGTTGTATATTTACCACATGTATACATGTATGTGGTATATGTATACCACATGTATATATACCACATTTTCTTTATCCAGTCATCAGTTGATGGATATCTAGGTTCATTTCATTTTAGAAAGTACAATATTGTGTGTTAACTTTAAAAGAAAGGAGAAAAAGCTATCTGTTTAATTCAAACTGTTACTTTTTGAAAATGAGTACATAGAGGGAGAAGGACAGAGCATGAGTTACATTCTTCTGTCTAATTGACATGATTAGGTATAGCCTAACTATAGGAAGAACCAGGAATGGCCAGTGCCGCACCTCAATAGGCTAATCCTCCACCTGTGGCGCCAGCACCCTGGGTTCTAGTCCCGGTCGGGGCACTGGATTCTGTCCCGGTTGCTCCTCTTCCTGTCCAGCTCTCTGCTGTGGCCCAGGAGTGCAGTGGAGGATGGCCCAAGTGCTTGGGCCCTGCACCCACCTGGGAGACCAGGAAAAGCACCTGGCTCCTGGCTTCTGATCAGTGCGGTGCGCCGGCTGCAGCGCACCGGCCGCAACACACCGGCCACGGCAGCCATTGGAGGGTGAACCAACGGCAAAGGAAGAGCTTTCTCTCTGTCTCTTGTTTCTCTTTCTCACTGTCCACTCTGCCTGTAAAAAAAAAAAAAAAAAAATAAAAGACAAGAAGAGAGAGAAGAAGAACCAGGAATGAGAAAATCCCATTAGAATGTAAAGAAGGTAGTACAATGTAGATAAAGAGTCCTCTGCTAGAAATCAGGAAACCTGGGTTCAAGTTCCTACCCTATAATCTTAGATAGATAATTCTCCCATTTTCTGGGTTTCTTGTTGACTAGAAAATGTGGGCAATGAATTGAATCATATTTAACAACCTTCCGACCTCCAATGTCTAAAGTTCAAAGTCTAGTGACCTTCCCAGGACAGGATTTGTTTGGTAACTTCTCACCTCTTCACAAAAAGCCCAAGAAGTAATTTAGATGTTTTCCAATGTCCTCCTTCTAGAAAAGAACAAAGAGTGAGAGCAAGGACAGGGCCTTGGTTCACAGAGCCCTCTACGTTTCCCAGCCTGCATGGTATCTATTAGTTATTCTCAATGTTGGTCAGAGTGGCTCTATAGATGTCGTTGGCTTTCTTTCTGACGGCGCCACTGCTTCTTGGCAGCATCGTCCTCTTGTTGGAGAATGAGTTTGCTGACTCAAGTTAGAAGTGACCTCAGTTATCAGACAAATGTTTTCAATGAACTACCTTTCCTGCCCCCCTCCCACAAAAATGATCTGAAAGATGTGATTCTTGTGTTTTGGGCTACACCTTCATGACAACAAATCCCACCAAAATAAAAATGTTATTCAGAAATAAGATTCCCATATCCAGATCTGTACCCTGTTTATTTTATATATAGTCAATATTATAAAATTCCCAAACGGCTCAATAGGCACCTCTGGCCATTTGGTATAAGGATAGTAGCATTTGACTGGCATTCAGTCCGCTCGTTTTCCAGCATATAATCTCTTTACTGAGATTATAAAGTAATTCTCTGTAGTAGAATGTGAGTTGCTGTATGTTGATTGGGTTTATGTATGGACTGTTAATCTAGTTTCACACACTTTGAAGCGGTGTAAGCCCTGACGCTGAAATCCTAGGCGTCCAGTTGACTGGTTTCATTGTTGTGAGCCTGAATGCCCCAAACACTCTTAGTGCGTTCTGAAAGCAGGAAGTGGAAAGTTGACTTCTGTCTCCTCCCCTTGCAGTTGTCAATTTGAGGGACAATGGGAATATGCATTGACCCTTTCTGTGTTTTAACACAAGGCTTATCCATGCAAACCTTAAAACCAAGTTAAATGATCATTTTGGTGCTGTACAATAACAGCCATCCATAATGCCTTCCTTAACACTGAGTGACACAGCTTCCCAAATATCACCTGCTTCACCAAATATCAATATTCTCTTCTCACATGCACTCTGGATTTTCTGTTTCTTTTTGTTTTCTGTATTGCAGAAATGTTGCCTATATCCTGGCTGTGGATCTTGTAATATGACATCAGGGCACCAGATTAGTTTAAATTGCTTTTTTGAAAATCTTTGCTATAGTTTCTTGTTGAGTAAATATTGGAAACATTGACATATAAATCAGCAATCAAAAGTGATTAACACCACATTCAAACAATATGAAATACGTAATTCTATAGTCTCATAACTGTTTTAGAAATGGAATC